CATGTAGATGAAGACAAATTAACAGAGTTTATATGAGAATGTGAGCTATACTTGCCTTCATTATGTGAGTCCGGTTTGTCAAACTTGGAATTAAAGACACACCTGCAGTGACAGGACCCTGGTTATGATTTTGCCCCGTTTGAGTTTGTAGCAGGGATAAGAGTTTCTGCAACTGTTCAGATGTGATCATAGCCTCAGAGCTTGTAGCAGCCGCCATGGCAGGTTGTTTCCCCTTCGACTTGTAGCCCGGTATCCACCCCGGTGGATAACCGTGCTTCTTGTAGCATTTTTCGACAGTGTGTCCAACCATGTCGCAGTAGGTGCATTTGGCATTCCTGTTTCCACCATTTGAGTTCAAGTTTTTCTTGTCGTTGTAATAGTTAACCATGGCAACAGTCTCTTCTATAGAGTTATGACTGTTCTGCACAACATTTGCGTGGTTGAACTCCAGATTCATGTTGTTGATGTTGAGCTGCCTTTCGAATTTTTCTGCCATAACATACACTTTGTGCATCTCAGGTAGAGGATCTAGGACAAGGACGTTTGATTTGAGTGAGTTGTAGTCCTCGTTTAGACCTTGAAGGAAGCGAATTATCTGATCAATTTCGCGATCCTTTCTCACCTCATCCATTAGATCGCATGAACAACGAAGAGTGCATTTGCAGATCGGAAGAGGACGCATCTCGTTCATCTCCTCCCACAACGACCTGCACTTAGTGTAATAATCATTTACTGAGAGATATACTGCAATTAAGTGAGCACATTATACTTCCACCGTTTTCCGCTAGGCGAGATTCGCGTCCTGGTCAAAGACAAACTCGTCGATACTGAAACGAAATGGACTATAGAAATACAGGATCCATGCGACGATGTATGTAATATCGGGCTCGAGCTCATGCTTCACACCAGTGCCCGGCGTTAAATTACCAATCGTAGAGACATTAACTCATTTCTTGTACAAATTAGTTTAATGAAAATGCGGATGGTTTTTATGATAACAATTTTTTTCGACCAACCATTAGTTGTATAAGTTTCAACTATTTTTTAATCGGCACGGACACAGGCGAATTTGATTTTCCACGGGAAAAAAAAAACACTAAATAACGCCAAAGGAAAAGGCGTTATAGTCTCAATGTACTATACCGCCTTTTCCTTTGGTGTCATAAAATTTTTGTCCTTTTTTTTTTTTTTGGGTTTTAAGCTTCTTATATATTCCCACACTCATTTATTTATAACACTTCATCTATTTGTAAGTCGCGTTCAGAAGATAGAAATTTTGCTCCAAATTTCTTACAAATCTTCAAACTTTCTTACCAGTTTACACATTTTTCTTCCATCATGGATATATTTGTAGAATTTTCGAAGGTCTTTTGCGTCAACCGACAACGTTATAATATGAAACGTTATTTCGCACATACAATAAACGGAAGGAAATTATTGTATGCAATTGTAGAGCATACATCACAAGATCAATATATTTGTTTTGCACCTCCATCATGGGTAAAATATATGAAAATGTTAGGACTAAATGTGTCGGATCCAATTGCATTTCAAAATTTTCAAGATGCGGAGTGTTATACATACGACATCCTACAACACGTCCTGCAAACACTTCTCCTTCCATCACGTAAGTCATTTGATATTTTTGCATTTTATATTTAAGTATTATTTTTAATGTCTATTTATAACTATGTTTTTCTTTGTTGTAGCTTGCAATGATAAAAAATATTTGCCGGATATTACTAGATCTACTATTGTATGGTTTTTTATTCCAATTAGATCACGTGTGACAATGGTAATTTTATCAACTTTTACTTCGATATTTTGTTCTTTCATATTTTAATATGATTAGTTTTTTACCTTCACTAATTTTGTTTTTTAGAGAATTCCAAAATGCATGTATCGACATCTAATGCTGCACTTCACAACAACTGCGATTTTGAAACATGGTTCGTCGTTCGCAATGAAAGTTTCTGTTGAAAACATACAATTTACTACATGAATTTCTGAATTCATTAGTGCGAATTCGTTAAGAACTGCATGCATCGTGCTTTTTAGACATACGGGTTTCTTCACTTTTGAAAGATTTTGCTATAACTTCGATGGCATGTTGAAGATGTACCCTTATTTTCACCCTAATGCGAACCACATTTCTTCTCGCCCACATCAACCAGGTAACTTTACAGTTTAATGCATCACCAAAATTTGTGTTACATATTTCCACAACAATTAATTACTCTTTTTTAAACATTAGACCAAATACGTGTGAAGGCAAAGTCTGCTCTGCCCCCAGCATATTCAATTGATGTACAACGATGTCGTTCTTTGTATACTGATTTCTCCATACCCGAAGCGGTGAGAAACAATATACCGTCATAATATGCTAATTCAACTTCCATCCTCTAACCATTATTTACTTATTCATTTTTTTTTCTTACGCTTCTATAGAAAGCTAGATTGTTTGCACTCCTCAGAGATTCCGACGAGTTTGCTGATGCTACGCTGAAAATAGTAGTTGGATCTCGAAAGCTAGAGCTCTACTTTTACAGAACTTTAACTTTTTTCACAGAACAATGAGAGGAAATAACAACGCATTTTAATATAAATACAACGCATGATGATGTTGTTTTATTCCGTACGGAGGACAACATTGTACTACTCATGATTATTGGTCAATGTCATGTTGAAAATATTTATCCTTGGTCGGTTAAATATTTCATTCATGAAAATGTGTGTGGTGAACTTAACTTTTTAAATATATGATAATAATGTATACAACTTTTGTATTTTATCTTATTATAATTCTGTTTCTCCAGCCGTCAAAATGGGCTTAGCCCGCCGGGCTTTCCCGCCCCGCCCGCCAATAGGGCGGGGTGGGCTCGTCGTTTTGAAGCCCGTTTTAAAAAGGGCTTTTTTGCCCGCCCCGCCAGCCCGCCTTTTAAAAAAAAAAAAAAAACATAATCCTAAATTCCTAAATCCTAATAGGCTAAATCTAAATTCCTTATTTCAATTTTCAAGTCAAAGACTCAAAGGCGTTAGGCTTCAAAGCCCTAGCTTATTTATCGGCTTACCGCAATTCCCCAATCGCTTCGCAAGTCCGCACAGGCGCACAGCCAGTCAGCCCTTGTCCGCCGCGAGTCCGCGACCACCGTCCACCGCGATCAACCGGCGACCACCGTCCACCGCGCGCATAGTCCGGCGGCCTCCGCTCCACGCTCCAGCAATTCACGCACAGTCGCACAGTCAGGTAGTTTATTTCCTTTTTTTTTTCTTTTTCTTTTTCTTTCATTTAATTTATTTGATTTTTATAGTATACAAACTAGTAAACAACAATTGTACTATGTTAATCTATTATCTATTATTCTATTATGAATTTATGATTTATGCTGTACATATGAATAATATGAATATATGATTATATGATAAATTGATAATATATATGACCGTCTTATCATAATTACTATTTGCATTTTTCTAATGCAAAAAAGGAAAGCCAAAAGCTATGCAGCAAGTGAGTTCCAATGACTTTAAACAGCAACCTAAATGTCAATATGCTTGGCGTTAATGTTTATTAAGACTCATAAGTCATATCACTATATGAGCAGCAAATCATTGTATACCCACTGATTTTTTTTTTTTTTTATTTTTAAAAACAGTGTACTTTTCAGTTTGTTTGTGATGGATTCAGTGTCTTTGAACCAAACTAATGTGAACCAAACTGCTCATACCATTGCCGATGATGATGTTGATGGAATGCCAGGAATGGATAGTTCTACAAAGAAAGGTAAGTCTAAACAATTTACCTCTGATGTGTGGACTTATTTTACAAAGCTTCCAATTGGTGAAGATGGTATTTCAAGGGCAAAATGCAATGGTTGTTCAAAAGAATTTAAAGCTGGGGGGAAAATAAGTGGGACTTCTTCATTAAAGAGACACAAAGAAACATGTAGGATGTTAAAGTTTCATGATGTTGGGCAAATGTTTGTTAATTATGAAGGCAAACTTGAATCTAGGAAAGTAGATCCAAATGTTGCTAGGGAGTTGTTAGCTTCTGCAGTCATCAAACATGATTTACCATTTGCATTTGTTGAATATGATGGTATTAGAAAATGGCAGAAGTATTTGAATCCCGATGTGCCTTGTATCTCTAGAAACACACTTGTGTCTGACATTACTAAGATCTATTTTCAAGAAAAAGAGAAGCTTAAACAAGTGTTGGCAAATATCAAAAATAGAATTTGTTTAACTTCTGATGTATGGACTGCATGCACTAGTGAGGGATATATTTGCTTAACTGGGCACTTTGTTGATCTGAATTGGAAATTGAATAGCAAGATACTTTGTTTTGCTAAGATGCCCCCACCACACACAAGATGTGAATTATCTGCAAAAATATTTCAATTTTTGAAGGATTGGGGAATTGAAAGAAAGGTGTTCTCTTTGACATTAGATAATGCATCTAGTAATGATAGTATGCAAAACATTCTGAAGGAGCAATTAGCTTTGCATGATAGTTTGTTGTGTGATGGGGAGTTTTTTCACATTCGTTGTTCAGCCCATATATTAAATCTCATTGTACAAGAGGGGTTGAAAGTGGTTAATTCAGCTTTGCATAAAATTAGAGAGTCTGTCAAATATGTGAAAGGTTCTGAGGGTAGGATGAAGAAGTTTGAAGAATGTATAAGTGCAGTTGGTAACATTGATACTAGTATTGGTTTGAGATTGGATGTGGTTACTAGGTGGAACTCCACATATTTAATGTTGGAAAGTGCTATTAAGTACAAAAGGGCATTTGCTTCTCTTCAATTGAATGATAGACAGTATAAATTTTGCCCTTCAAATGAAGAATGGAAAAGAGGTGAGAAAATATGTGAGTTTCTTGAGCCATTTTATGAGGTGACAAATTTGATTTCCGGTTCTTCCTATCCTACATCAAATCTATATTTTATGCAAGTTTGGAAGATTGAAAGTATATTGAAAGAAAACTTGGATAACGAAGATGCCTTGATAAGTGGAATGTGTAAAAAGATGTTTGACAAATTTGATAAATATTGGAGTGAATATAGCCTAGTGCTTGCATTTGGAGCTATTTTTGATCCAAGGATAAAGCTTGTAACATTGGAGCATTTATATGGGGAGGTTCAGAGTGATCCAGCTAAACTTAAAGAAATGATTTCACTTTTGAAGACAAAGTTGAACAAGCTTTTTAGTGGTTATGCGGATATTATTGCTCCACCTCTTTCCCAACCACGAGTTTCTCAAGTCACATCTATGCAAAGTGAAAGTTTAGGTAAAAGTCAAAGAAAAAGAGCATTTGAAGTAAGTATTTTAAGTTCTAAGTTTCTAACACTTCAATTTATATATATATTTTCTGTATTTGCATTTGTGATTGTGATAACATGTTTAATGTTTTAAAATTTAACTAGTAATTGTCCCGTGCGATGCACGGACTATTATTTATTTTACAAATTTACCAATTAAATTTTTGACATCCACTAAATTAGCAAAGAAAGTAATGGTTGTAGAAACAGAAAAACTTGATTCCTTCAGCTCAGAATTAGTTTTATTAAAAATGTAAGTATAACTATACAATATATAGTATTTAATATTTTTAAAAGTTTAATTATGTTGATTTTAAAATTTATTGTTACTTGTATTACTATTTGAATTTGAATTTGAAATAACTAATTTAATTATATAGCTAACGTATTTAAATAAAATTTGTAAATAAATTAATAGACAATATTTGTTGAAAATCTACACCAAAATCTTATTCATTTGAATAAGATTATTTAGGTAAGGACTATGTTTATTTTATATCTAATTTTTTCTTTTTATATATGTGGAGTCAAATTAATTGCAATTGAAGTTTTAATGGATATATACACAAATTATATTAATTATATTAAATATAAAATTTTACCAATAAATTTGAACACAATAACATTCATATTCCTAATCTCATTTGTATGCACACTTGGGCGTGAATATTTTTTTCCCTACTTCATTTTGCTTTGATATATATAGAGATAGAGATATAGTTATAATAAAATATAATTTATAATTTATAAATTTTATAAATACACATAATAACTTCAAAAAAATATATGTATAAATATATCTACCCACACAATTAATGCATTCATACTTGTTATTCTTATTTGTATCAAAATGCATTCACACTTTGGAGAAAAAATTTTGTGGCCATCATTTTGTGTGTATATATATATATATATATATATATATATATATATATATAGATATTGAATCCAATGAGACCCCTATTAAAATGAAATGGTGAGACGACATCTTGACCGTTTATTTGTAGTTTTTAATGGTGTAGATCTGTTTTATTTGTGCACACGTTTTGCTGAAATTAATATGTAATTAGGGGTGTTTTGGTATTTTTCTCATTGCTATTATTACTTGCCATTTAATTCGTCTGCTCATTTTGGTTATTATTTTGGAAGACTCAAATCTCTTGTTATTATTTCTTTTCTTTCTTGCGTGTCTTTTCAGTTTATTTCCTATCAGAACACCTCTCAGCGACGTGAGCATTCTCTCTCCATGACTCTTCAATTCCTGTCCGTTCTGATTCTCCTCTCGGCGAAGCTAGGGTTTCCTACTTTCCGGTTTGCCGGTCTCGTCGTCGTCGGTGTGGTGGTTTCCGCGTCGGCTGGTGGTTAATATGGCTGGTTCTTCTTGAAGGGGTTCTAATCGGCGAAAGGGAGGTGATTCGAATTCTTCTCGAGGTAAATCCTTGTTCTCGTCGGTTTTGTGTGTTTAGGTTTTTTTTTTTTTTTTTTTTTTTTTTTTTTTTTTTTTTTTGTATGTTTATTATTAAGGCTGCGTTTCCGGGGATGGGTTAGTGTTTCCGGTGTGGGGGTTTTTTTGCATGGAGTTTTTGTGGGTTGTTGATGGGAGGGGGTTGTGGCGGTGTTTCGGCCGGAATCTTTTTTTTTTTTTTAATCGCATTTGTTATTTTCGGCGGGGGTGTCCGGCGTGAGGGTTGAGGTGTGTCTTTTCCCGGTCGGGGGGCCGGGGTTGGAATGGGGGCATTAGGCGGTTGGTTTTGGGTGTTGCAGTGGTGGGGTAGGGGGTTGGGCTGTAGAGTGGGTAGGGTTTTGCGTTAAGGTTTTTTTTTTTTTTTTTTTTTTTTTTTTTTTTTTTGGTGTTTTGTACTGGTATTTTTTTTTTCTGGTCATGGGGGGTTTTGGTGTTTTGGTTTTTTTTTTTTTTTTTTTTTTTTAAAATGTACTCTGCCATGTTTAGGGAGGACGAGAGGCCAGTCCATGTGAGTTATCATGTGGGAAATGCGGTTGGCAAGAGATTGATTATGGTGATGCCTTCACCTGGGGATAGATTGTGAAGAACATTGATGGTCAGCCTTCCAGAACACCAGATTTCTATCCTTTCTCAAGATCAAGCTATTGTTGAACTGAATCCAATAATGCTCATCAGTGGGAAAAGATAAGCTAACATACAACTTCATTCGTTTTGCGATTTGTTGTTTGCTTATGGTATTTATATGTTTTACAGGTTTGATTGTATTTTCATAAGAATACAGACTTCAGTTTGTGCGTTGTTCTTGAACGAGTGATTTTGGCGTGACGTTAGTAGTATAATGTATCTGTTTTTGTGTTTGGTTATGAGGTTTTTTTACTTAGCGTGTGCATTTTACTGGTTTTATGGTCTGTGCGTAGCAGCCCATCAGTTTGTGTATTGTACTGTACCGAGTGTTTTTGGTATGTCGATGGTATAATAATGTTTATGTTTTTGAGTTTTATTAGGGATCTTTGTTACTTAGAGTGAGCATGAGTTTTAATCGTATTTCCAGATTCATTTTATCTCAAGGATCCAATGTTTATCTTTTTTTAACTCGCGAAATGCAAAAATATTTATTTGGGGGATGTGTTGTCTCTGGTTTGTGCGTTGTTGACGGTTGACGTGTGCATCTCACTGTGGGATGATGTTTGTGCATGCTATTCTGGTCTGTGCGTGTTCAAAGTAATAGGACCTAGTAGTCTATGCACATCATGCACACGCCGACGTCAACAAACGCACATACCGAAACGAACAAAAACTACATTCAATATCGCACCATCCAAATAATAGTCATACCGTCTAATTCAATCAAATTGAACATACAATTTCATTCCACGCATACCCCTTATAATAATAAGTTTGAATACAAGATGGATGTCGCACCAAACCCAAACCCCCCTAGTGCATGTCATGTGCACGCCGACGTTAAGAAACGCACATACCAAAATGAACAAATACTACGTTCCATAACACACCATCCAAATAATACCCATACCGTCTAATTCATTCTAATTGAACAAACAAGTGTAGTCCACGCACACCCATTACAATTATAATTACAGCTTCACAATGAATGTCAAACCACGTAAAAACCCCCGTATTTCACATCATGCACACGCCGAATTATAAAATGCACATACCACCCGTCCACCAATTACCAACATGTTTGTGCATTCAACTTTTTACTGAAAAACAAAAACAAAAAATCCCTAGTTTTACATGGCAGTGTATGGTAGCCCAACCTATATATATATAGGATCCCTAGTTTTACATGGCAGTGTATGGTAGCCCAACCTATTTACAATTTATATTATGATCCAACCCAAAACATATTCATAACCCAAAATTTATATTAGCCCAACATATGTCTAAACCCAATTTAAAGACATTAAAACCCAACCCGTATATCTGACCCTAACCCTAAGTATAAAATGAGCTAAACGTTTGGCATTTTCATTTTGCAATCCACGTTACAGCTCAGCTCTTCGTCTCTTCTTCTTCCGTTGATAATTAGGGTTCTCATCGTCATTCCATCGATACACGTCATCAGGCCAAGCTAAGCTCTCCTTCTCTCGTTTGTTTCTTCTTCTGTAGCTTTGGGTTTTCATCTCTATCGTATTTCCTCCTACACTTTATCAGATTATATCCACATTTTCTCATTCAATAGTCGGCTATACTGCAGATCTGTGGCCGAATAAATATGAATCGACCAAAATCGGAAAACCCTTGCACAAAATCGCTCCCTGCGAGAAAAGTCGCCAGCGTAAAAACTTGAAGATAAGATTCCAAAAATAAAATTCTTTTGTTTTTAAGTTCCTTATTATAACTTTGATATAACTCTTTAATTTATTGTCCATATTTTAAACTTTTCATTGTTAGCTTGTCATTTACCTTGAGCGGAACTATACGAACTTGAATTTATTTGGACCGTGCATCAACATTTAGCAGAATCTTTGTGTTCCTATTTTCTAAAATACATGCCTTATTTAGGGATTTTTTGATATCTTTTCAAAATCAAGTACTTGACTGGGCATCAACATTTTGCCTCATTTAGGAATGTTTTGATATTTTTCCAGATTACTAAACAAACACCACCAAAATAATACAATGGGAAAACATTAGGTGCTCTCGCAGTCATGTTCTTCCACCAAGGAAGGGAAGCATGTGCAATGAAAAATGAACCCACTTGTCTTCTCTTTATGATGTATGCCAAATACATATAAGCTTCTTAATTTTTTTTTTCTTTTTCTGCATGTCTCTTTTCAATCAGAAATTCTGATTTATGGCCTTTGTCCTAAGAGGAAATTTTGGGGTCTTCAATGATCTGGAGGAAGTTCACAGTAAATTTTTTATGGATTAGAGCCACTTTAAAATGATATAAAAGAGAATAATGATAATTACTTCTTGGTTCTTTTCTTTGTGCTTCAATGTAGATGTGTGGGTCTCACCATGGAACATGTATTTATAGGCACAACTTCTCACAAAAATTCAGTTTCAAAAATGAATCATTATTTTTAGATGCCTGTTTTCGAAAACTAAATATTACATTGGCAAATTAAATAAACCATTTTGCTATAGTGATCTCCATTTTTATACATTTTTCCAGATTCATAAATCAATTTTTTATTTCATATACAAAATTACATTTTTAAAAAAAATTAATTCAAACATATGTTAAGGAGAAATATAGGACTTTTTGGATTAATCTAAAGACATACTTAATTCTGTTTTTTTTTCCCAAAAAATAAATCTTTAAGTTTTCTTGTTTATTTACATAATCCTTCTTTCTAATAATATTTTTCCAGTTTGTTACAGACATAAAAAGAACAAAAGCAAAAAGAAAAAAAAAAAAAACCCAGATCTAAAGACCTAGGAAAGTCCAAAAATGAAATTGAACTTATTCAGTTTACCTACATTCAACGCATCTGTATTATGTTGCAATTATCATGAGTATTATGTTTATGTAGGTTGCTATATCTTAAAATTTTTCTTAAAACCAAGGGTTGCAGAAAATTAATATGTTATATATCTACCTTTTTTTGAAAAAAAAAAAAACTTTTATATAGTATATTTCTATTATTATTGGGTTCTGTATTTTTATATTTTACTTGCCTATATGCTTTAATCGGGGATCTAAGAATTCCACTTCTCAAATTTTCATGCTTTAATTGTCCCAAAAGTAATTCTAAGCTCCAAAGCTTCAATTATAAGCACGATGTTATATTATTACTTTTACATACATGTGTTCTTACTCTTGAACTGCATTTCTGGTATTTTTTAGCTATATGTTTCCATAAGGATTTGAATGTTGTCCAATCAGCTTCTCTCATACTATTTCCTTTTCTTATATTCTGATATATAGCATAATTTTCAATAAAATGCAATCAACATATAAGATGCATGAATATGATGAACATAAAATTTAGGAACTAAGAGACAACAGTGGAAAATAACTATTTAAGATATGAGCACATTACCATGCATTGAGAATGTAAGAATAGGCATGTACTTACTTGGGTTTGAGTTATATTGCTATCATGATCATACTTTGCTATTACTAATTTCAGGTGTCAATGGCAATAAGAACACTTGGAAATTAATGCATTGGGCCAGTGGAATTGCTTTGTATGCCATTGAAATCCTTAAAAAGGGAAATATTAGCTTTTCTGGGCATCTGTATTCATTCTAAGCTTTGCCTCCCCAAGTCTCCCTTTTTTCTGCAAAAGAAATGAGGAACAAAAAATCAGTCCTTCAAATGGAGAACGTGAATACTCCTATATCTGAGTTTCAGTGTTTCACCATAGAACCTCTATTTATAGGCTGTTTCTTTGCCCCACGAAGAGGAAATCTTTTTAAAAATAAAATTTTAAAATTAGGGTCCGTTTGGAAAGCAGGAAAATGACTTCTGGAAAATGTTTTCTGGAAAATGAGTCATTTTCCGGAAAACATTTTCCTTTCCGGTGTTTGGCTACATAACAGAAAATTGTCTTTGTGTGTTTGGTTCATTTTCTAGAAAATGATTAAGAAAATGACAAAATAAAAAAAAAATAAAAATCACAAACATCACTGGAATATCAAAAGAATATAAAAAACATACAATTAGCTAGAATGCAAGTGCAAATTCAAATAATGAAAGCTCAGAAATTTCAGGCTCAAACAAACGAAAAAAAAAAAAAACAAACAAAATTAAATTTATAAGATAAACAGTGAGTGAAAAAGAAAAGAAAGCATATTATCTGTACTCAAACAAACAGACCAGTGGCCTCGTCTCCCTCTCCGGAGACGGTGGTTGACATCAGATTCAGCGGTGAAACAATAGTCCTTGAACCTCCGTCTCCCTCTTTCTTTTTTCTCGATCAGTAGCGATGGTGGTGGCCGGACGCAGTGGTTGAGCAGAGCAGCGGCGGACCTGAGTTTCTTCCTTGGTCTTCTTCAGCAACGACGGGCAGATCGACGGCAGCAGTGGCGGATCTGGGTTTCTTCTTCCGAGGAACGACGGCAGATTGATGGCGGTGACGGGATGAACCTCCAATGGAGAGATTGACGGCGGCGGCGGGATGAACCTCCAACAATGGCGATGGTCTCCGGTGGTGCAGCTTCGCTTTTGACCTTTGGTGTTAACGGAGGTTGAGCTTCATATGATGGAGAACCAACGAATGGAAAATGACTTCCCCCCAAAAAAAGGGGAAGTCATTTTCCGGAAAATAGGAGTGATTTTCCATTGACCACAAGTTATTTTCCATTGACTTCCATTTTCCTTGCCTAGCCAAACACCTAAAACCCGGAAAATGATTTCCAGAAATCATTTTCCGGGTTTCCAAACACACCCTTAAGTTGTCAGGAAATTGTTTCTTATACGCAAAAGCTGATTGGACATCTATTTATGGGCTGTTTCTTTGCACCAGCAAACTTAGGTGCATAGGGAATAGGAATGAAATTTTTAAAATGAAGTTGTCAGGAAAAGGTTTCGTTTACGCAAAATTTGATTGGACAACATTTAAATAAAATATTCTGATCAACAACTAATGTAGAATGACGTCATTAGGGCTTACACATGCAAAAAAAAATTACTAAACGCAAAAATTACGCTGTTGTGGACCCGTAAATCGGCAATAGGCCACTCATGCAAACGCTGTCGTTCCCTCTAGGCGGGAAAACAGATATATTTTTTTTTGCCAAAAATGTTTGGCTTTATTATAATAGAGGATTTCTTAAGTTCTAACTAATGTAGGCAATTAAAAAGTATGATAGTCAAACTGTTAAGACTGTTGGGAAGTCAGAATTGGAAATTTATTTATTTATTTATTTTTTTTGAACCCAAACAATAGATGCATTAATTCAAATCCGAAAGAAGGGAATTACAAATGATAGGAGGAGGGTTCGTGAACCACTCCGGGCAACCAGACAAAGAAACAGACTGCCTTGCTAACAGATGGGCCGTCTGGTTCGCAGATCGCCTAATAAAAGATAAACTACAACGAGCAAAGCAACTCATTAAGTTTTTGATGTCATCTAGAATTAAATGAAAGGAAGAAACTCCAATCTCAGAATTGAGGCTCTGAACAACTTGTAAGGAGTCGGACTCAATGATAATGTTGTCGGCATTAAAAGATTTGAGCCAGGAAAGCGATTCACGGATAGCCACTGCTTCGGCTTCTTTAGATGAAAAGATTCCTCTCCAATGAGCTCCTCTTGCAGCCACGAACTGTCCGTGATCATCCCTTAAAACACAGCCAAAACCCATACAACCACTATCGGCGTTAATAGCTGCATCAACATTTAGCTTCATAAAACCTTGCATAGGCTTAGTCCACCTATCCTTTGGCACAACACCTCTCTGATTATGAGGGCCTTCTGTGGTTGCTGCTAACCATGCAGAATAGTAGGACTGTGATCTGTTTATCAGACTGCTAGCCGGCTCAATGGGGAGATTGTTCCATATGATGTTGTTCCTTAGACTCCAAAGATTCCAACAGACCATAGCTAAGGTACAGAAATTATCCTCAGATAAGATATCTAGTGCATTGCTCACCCACAACTGGAAGCTATCTACAGCAAGATGAAGAGATGGAAACTTGAGATGACTCCAGCAAGACTTGGCGTAGCTACACTCGGCAAAAAGATGGAGAATGGTTTCGCTGCCATTGCTACACAGGTTGCAATTTGCTCCGCAGTTGATATGCCTCTGCATCAATCTGTCTTTGGTGGGAAGACACGAACTACATGCCTGCCATAAGAAAGTCTTGACTTTAGGGGGGATTTTACACTTCCATAGTCTGCTCCAGTGCTTGATATCCTCCTCCCTCAGCTCACCACCAATTGCTTTGTAACAGCTCTTGACCGAGAACTTGCCATTGTCTTCGGGTCCCCAGATGACTTTATCTTGTACTGGTTGGTTGGATAGAGGTATCTTCATAATTAAATCTGCGTCTCTGGTATTGAAGATTTCCCGAATGGAGTTCTCGTCCCAGCCACAAGTAACGGGATCAATGAGGTCTTCCACCTTGGAATTTTCCATGAAAGGGAAGGGAAACGACATAATTTTTGGATTATTGATATCCGGAAGCCAATTGTCTCTCCAAATACGAGTCTGAGCTCCGTTGCCTATCCTCCATCTTGAATGTTTTCGTATGATGTCTTGAGTAGCCATCAAGCTACTCCAAATGAAAGACGGGTTGGCACCTACATTAGCTTCAAGAAAAGAAGAGTTAGGATAATATCTCGCTTTGTAAATTTTTGAGACCAAGGAGCTGGGATCCATGATTAGTTTCCAAGCTTGTTTGCTAAGAAGAGCAAGGTTAAAATCATGTAGATTCCGGAATCCGAGCCCTCCCCATTTCTTTGGAGTACAAAGGGACTTCCAATTCTTCCAATTGATGGCTGTACTGTTGTTGCCACCACCTTTCCACCAATAGGAGTTCATAGTATTCTCCACTGCTTGTATCAAACCTTTGGGCAGAAAGAAAACCCCCATGGCATAAGATGGGAGAGCTTGAAGAACAGATTTCAAGAGGATCTCTCTCCCTGCTTTGGAGATGAATCTGTGGTTCCAACCATGAATACGGCTCACAATGCGTTGCTTGATGAATTTCAGAATTTCAGTCCTATTTCTACCTATGATCATAGGGAGACCAAGGTAGTTACCATTATTCCCACTGCAATGAATGCCCAAAATAGAGCTTAGCTGGTCTCGCACAGAATCTGGTGTGTTCTTACTGAAAGCCAAGGATGATTTGGTCAGATTAATACTTTGACTAGAAGCCCTCTCATAATCAAGAAGAAGTTGTTTCATATTAGATGCTTCCTCCACAGATGCCTTGAAAAAAATAAAACTATCATCGGCAAAAAATAAGTGACTGATGGAAGGTGCATTTCTGGCCACTGTGAACCCATGAAGACTGCCCCTTCTCTCATAATCCCTGATCATAGCACTAAAGCCCTCAGCCACCAAAATAAACAAATAAGGAGAGATAGGGTCTCCTTGCCTTAAGCCTCTATGTGGTATAATGGGTCCAATTTCCTGCCCTTTATTCAACACAAAATAGCTCACAGAGGAGACGCATTCCATGATTAAATTGATCCATCGTGCATCAAAGCCCATTTTAAACATGATATTACGCAGAAGGGGCCATTCTAACCTGTCATAAGCCTTACTAACATCCAATTTGAGGGCATCTAATCCATTTTTCCCCTGGGTTTTACGTTTCATATAATGTTGCATTTCAAAAGCAATCATTATATTGTCGGTAATTAACCTGCCTGGGACAAAACACCTTGGTTCTCAGAAACTAGATCATTCAATAACCCTTTTAGTCTGTTTGCCAAGGCCTTAGCAAGGATTTTGCAAGCAACTGAGCATAAGGCAATTGGCCTAAGGTCGGCCATGGTTTCTGGGGTGGATTTTTTGGGGATTAAAACAATCTGGGTTATGTTTATGTCCTTTGGAAGCTTACCCGACCTCAGAAAATCATTGCAAAAATCAACAAGACTATCACATAAAATATCCCAATAAGATTGAAAAAACCCCGGATTAAAACCGTCATAACCCGGGCTCTTGTCCGGATGCATGCCAAACACTGCTTTTTTGATTTCAGATATAGTAAAACTTCTCAGCAACATATTATTTTGAGAGCTGGTAATACTAGAATTAATACAATTCAAAACGGGATCACTATTGCCAGCATCAGAGGAAAAGATTTTTGTAAAATAATCCCTTACCAGAGAATCCAGACCAGAGCCTTGAGGAACCCAGTTGCCGTGTTGATCGCGAAGTTTGAGAATCTCATTATTCCTCCTTCTCTGATTGACTGCATTATGGAAAAATCTCGTGTTGTTGTCACCTCCCTTGAACCAGTAAAGCTTTGCCCTCTGCTTCTAAAATTGGTTTTGTCTTTCCAGAATGCTTAGAAATTGGGACTGGGCTGTAGCAAATTCTTGGATGCTCCGGGCATCCGTTCTTGGTCTAAGAAAATCCAGGCGCCTCTTAATATTGTCGATTTGGGGTTGCATGTTCATATTTTGGTCCTTGCCCCATTTCCAAATCTCGTGGCTGCATATCTCAAATCTTGAACACAGCTGAAGACCCTGAGAGTTAGACCAACATTGATGAACAATCTCACGGCACCGATCCTCTTTGAGCCAATAGTTTTCAAATTTAAAACTTCTACGCTTCCTTGTTCTAACTGCTGTGACAGGCCAAATCGCGAGAGGAATATGGTCACTATTAGGTGCCTCGAAGGACTCAGCTTTAGCACCTTCAAATTTGTCAATCCAAGCATTATTAACAAGGATTCGGTCGAGCTTTTCCCTAATCCAGCGATTAGAGCCTCTGCCTTTTTCCCAAGTGTATTGGTAACCTTTGAAAGGATAATCTCGAAGACCACTGAATACTATTGCCTCTTTGAAACCTTGCATAAGCCATTGCAGTTGACATGCACCACCAATTTTCTCTTCAGGAGTCAGAATATCATTGAAATCACCCATTAGCATCCAGGGAAGAGAAGATACCATAGAGAGCTGTTTGAGGAGGTTCCAAGAGATCTTCCTTCTATGTCTTTTTGGATTCCCGTAGAATCCAGTGAAACGCCAGGTGGAGGGAGAAGAACATGTCTTAATTTTGGCGTCAATAAAATTGAAGGAACTGTCCATAATATCAACATCCAAAGCTTTATTCCAAAACAATGCTAGGCTTCCACTTAGGCCATCACTATCCACTGTGACCACATTATCAAAATTCAATTTTTTCCTTATGCCTTCTAACTGAACTGAACCAAGTTTCGTTTCCATTAAAAACAAGAGAACCGGCTTTTTAGAGTGGACCATGTCCACCAGAACTTGAACTGTCGTGAGGTTGCCAAGCCCCCGACAGTTCCAAGATATGAAACTCATTGAGTTAGGCTGGCCTGCTCCGCAGGTCCCGCCTCTAACAGGTTTTTTGAGAGATCCGGGTTAACAACAAGAGTGAGCATATTCATATCATGAGCTGGGTCAGAGATTTCCGGCCCTTTTCTCTTCTTCCTTTGATCAGGCTCGGTGGATAGAGCAGCATGATATTGATACCCCACGAGTGGGCCTGTCGTATTGGGCTGGAAGTTTTGTTCGAGGCCCATAAGAGTACTAGATTGGGAGGGGTTAATAACCTTGTTGAAAGCCAGATGTGCCTGCCCAACGAATAGCTGTTGACTTTGTGTACTAGCTCCAACTGTAGAGGACGCGGCATTGAATGCATTATTCTTTTCATGACTGGGCTCTGTCATCTGCGTCTGCATGTTATCAGTCTGAACATTAACCGGAGGGTAAGGACCATGGCCATATTCCTTTTGCCCACTGGGTACCTCGTACCTAGAGTTTCCCGCCTGGTGGTGATCAGGGTTGGAGGAAGCCGTCGACTTGCTTACCGGCTTGGTGCTCCGTTCCGGCCGTTGAGAAAGAAGCCATCTGTTGGCTTGTGAGTTTTGTCTTCTGCTGACAGCTCTGAGTTCGGGGCCATAAGCTCTGGTTGTCACATCTCCATTAGAGTCAAATTCTTTAATGCAGAAACTCTCACTGTGCCCAATCAAACCGCAGAAGAAACAAAAGGTTGGGAGTCTCTCATACTTACACTCCAGAGTTAGAACTTCCCCCACTCCATTCTTTATTTTGATTCTTTGGCGAAGAGGCTTCGAGACATCAATGCGGACTCTTAGTCTTATGAACTCAATCCAGGTACCATCGTAGTTAGCGAGATCCGCCTTTACGTACTCCCCCAGTTGAGAAGCTATGAACTCTGCCATCTTGAGGTTCACCAACCTTTTAGGTATTTTATGAATTTGTATCCAAAACTCGGCTCTAGAGAGATCAACATCAAAGGGAGAGTCGTTCTCCTGGATTTGACGCAGAACGAGGAGGTGTTGATCAAATGACCAGGGCCCTACATCGAGCACTCTGCGAATATCCTTTTCGTGGAAAAACTGGAACATAAAAAGATTTGATGCTATCTCCTTTGCCATCATTCCTTTAACTGGCCGCCAAACTGTTGCAATTGGAAATTTATTTGGAGGAGCCCAAACTTGAATATGCATACTACGATGATTTGAATATCTTGGATTATTGGAAAGAACGTATGCATAGATATCCTGCACTTGCATTGATGGCACGAGATGTTTTGGCTATCCCAATTACTACTGTTGCATCGGAGTCGGCATTCTCTATTGGTGCTCGTGTGCTCACCAAGTATAGGAGTTGTATTTTGCCTGAAAAAGTGCAAGCACTTATTTGCACAAGAAATTGGTTGCATGGCTATGCTATTGGTAATGGTAAGTTATTATATTTGTCTATAAAATAATGAAAATATGAAATATTTGATTATATTTTAAGTAGTTTTATTTTATTATTTTGGTGTATTGTAATTTAATATTTAACTCTCTATTATGTTGAATTTTTAAGTAGATACTGAAGGCAGTTCAAGTTCAACATCAAATTTGTCCTTTGAAGATTCAAATATTGTTAATCTTGTTGATGACAATGATGAAAATGAAGATGAAGATGTAGAAGATATGAATGTTTGAATGATGTAATTGACTTATGATTTATGAATTTATGAACTTATGTAGTTTTTTTTTTTGAATGCTATGAACTTATGTAGTTAAGTATTTATGTTTTGTAATTTTTAACTCTCTATGACTCTATGAGACTATGACTCTATTATGTATTTATGTTGAATTTTTATGTTTTGGGCTATTGGTGATTTGGTGTCTATGAACTAATTTATGTTGTTTTAACTAGTTTACTAGATGTTAGGAATTAGGGAGTAGGGACACATCACAATCACACATTCACACATGCTGTAAAAAATATATATATATATAGGCGGGCTTGGCGGGGGCTCGCGGGGCGGGCTGCCCCTCCATGGGCCCGTATTCTTGGCGGGCTTTTTAGTCCGCCCCGTCAAAAGGCGGGCTTTGACCCGCCCCGTCCCGCCAGCCCGCATTGACAGCTCTATCTGTTTCATTTTTATTCTTTTCTATCCTACATTATAATTACTAATCATTACTTTAATAATTGATTTTATATTTAATTGCACTGATCATTACTAATAATTAGTTAATAATTGCATTAAGGATTAGTTAATTATTATTATTATTCTAATCAGTATTATTGGTGTATATGCGTACGTATTCTCTATTTTTTCCCAGTATTTACTTATATCGCCACTAAATTTACCGCATAGCATAATGTCGCTAAAGAGAAAGACTCTTTGAGCTGCAAAAGAATATACACGTCCTTTAGCCACATTTTTATGAACTATATCGTCTTAAATAAACTTGGTATTTGATGTAAGATTTGAACAGAAATATTTATAAGGTATGTATTTGGTTTTCAAGGGTTAAAGCAAAAGTCGTTGTAGTATAGTGGTGAGTATTCCCGCCTGTCACACGGGTGACCCGGGTTCGATCCCCGGCAACGGCGAGTTTTGTTTTGTTGTTTTAAGTATGAACAAAAATATATACCAAAAGAAGATTCCGACCTGCCGGATTCGAACCAGCGACCTAAGGATTAACAGCACTCACTACAGTCCTCCGCTCTACCAACTGAGCTAAGGTCGGGTTTATAGTTTGCCAACGAACTGGTTATTATTTATCTCCAATCAATGGCTTCAAGGTGCCAACATAAGGAAAATTAAAACTTTACTCTTAAAATTGGTGTCTTGAATACTTAGGGTGTGTTTGGTTTAAACATGCGAATTGAAATGAGAATGAATAAAGGTTTTAAAAATAATGTTGCTAAAGATAAAAGACGATTTTCTTTGTTTGTATCTCAATTTTCAATTTCTCTATTTCGAATCTCATGCAAAAGATCTTTTTTGACGAGTCAGTGATTCTAACAATTGCACTCTTGTGTATGCACTTTTGGGTGAGTCGATTTTGGACAAACTCAACCCATGTTAGATTATATTAGTTTATCTGCCTATGTGCAGATATCAAAGTTGTACAAAACTAAGTAATTCTATCAGTCAAACCTAGAGGTTTGTACTTTGTATAGAACTATAGATAAGGGTGAGCATATTTGAGATTTAACTCAAAATTTAATTGGGTTCGACCCGAATTGCGAAAGTTCGGATCATGTTCAATAAAATGGGGTTAAATTTGAAAGGAATAAGGGTTAAATAAGTCATCAAACTGCACATAATAATGCAATTAGGCTACTGAACCTAAAAAGGTCACAATTACATCCCTAAACTAATCAATTTCATGCAAATTAGTCTAATTTGTAAGTTTTTCGGATTTTTAACAGGTCACCCTAATTTAAAATAATTTTTAAAAATTATTATTTAAAATAATAATAATAAAAGAGATTTTCTCCGCCAGAGACAAAGAAACTCTTCCGGAGACGAAGGGACTCTTCGTCTCCGGCTAGAGATCAAGAAGGTTTCTTCGTCTCTGGCGAAGACGATCTGTTTTTTTTTTTTTTTTTTTTTTTTTTTTTTTTTTTTTTAAATTTAAATAATAATTTTTAAAAAATATTTTAATTTAAATAATAATCAGTTATGGTCTCGGGTAAAGGATGTTTATTTCGAAATCGTCCGAAGATCCAAACGTAATATCCAAACTATAAATTGTCAATGTCAACTTCTAATAAATTGAAAACTAATTGTCTATTAAAGGACATAACATAACAAGTACGTGGCTATTAAAAGTTTTCTGCCTAAAAAATTTCAAATTTAGTCAATCCGAACCTGATTTAAAACAAGTCCGAACTATCCAAACCCGATGCACTATCTCTATATTTCGATTCAGTTTTCAAGCTTGAAAAATCTAAACCCAATTTTTTCTTTTTTTTTTTTTGTTGGCTAATTATGATAGGATCGAACCCGAACCTAACATGTGCCCACCCCTATGCACTATCTCTATATTTCGATTCAGTTTTCAAGCTTGAAAAATCTAAACCCAATTTTTTCTTTTTTTTTTTGTTGGCTAATTATGATAGGATCGAACCCGAACCTAACATGTGCCCACCCCTATGTACCGGACCACCAATGGACAATGGAGGATTTATGAAGTATTTATGAACAAGGAAAGGTTTTGTTATTATTGAAAAGCATAGGGGTTGAAAAGAAAATATTTGAGGAACTACTTAACAACCCAATCTTTCTACGGTCTCCCTCGTTTATTGCTAAATCCTTTGAACTCTCTGGTTGAACGTTGTTGTAACTGAAACAACTACAGATTGTTTCCTTCTGTGTATTTGTTTTGTAAGAAATAAAACGATGATTTTTTTAATTGATTGTTATTCAATCAAATCGATTGCCCTTCACATTTCAATCACAAGCCTTTCAAGATTCGTAGTGAGTAGAAGCTAAGAATGACGAAGAAGAAAAGGGTTCATTTCCTACTCGCCCTTGTGGCCATCTACGGTCTCAGCACCGCCGGTAAACACCTTTGGTTCCATCTTCTCAAATTCTGATTTATACGTATTATTTGATTGGAGAAAAAAAAACAAAAAAACAAAAAAAACTCGAGCTTTTTCTTATTTTCTGTGTGAGAAAATTTCAATTTTGGTCATATGACTATAGGGGCTTTGTTAATTTCAGCACCTGACTTTCAAAAGTGTCAATTTAGTACCTTGAGTATGCAATTTTTATCAATTTTGGTCACTCCGGTTAAATTGTCGGCCAAATTTCGCCGGAAAAACTTAATCCTTCATTTAGTCTATAATTTGAGGGGCAAAATCGCCTTTTGAAGTTTGGTAAAATTGTCTTTTTTCAGGCGAAATTTGGCCGATATTTTGGCTGAAGTGACTAAAATTGACAAAAATTACATACTCAAGGTACTAAATTAACACTTTTAGAAGTCAGGTGCTAAAATTAACAAAGCCCCTATAGTCATATGACTAAAATTGAAATTTTCTCTTTTCTGTGTGATATTGTATTTGTCTGGATAAATGTGACCGAGTAGTTTGTTGGATTTCTTGGCTTTTGATGTCGGAGTACACCGTTGGAGCTTTGGTTTCGGATTATTTTTGTTGATTTGTTTGGATTTTTTGAGGGGAAAAATCCAATCTTTTGCAATTTCATTGATTATAGAAGGTTTAAGCTGTGGATAAAGTTAGAGGACTAGGAATTTGGGGTAAGTTGTGCGTTTGCAGTTGAAATGTTGTAATGATTTTACTTAGATTGGTGATCCAAGGTCACGAGTTCGAATTGTAGCCCCCTTGGTTTGAGCCGGTCAGTTATGGGCAACCTAATCTGGTTTAGTCTTTTACCGGCTAGGATCAAAAGGCGGGGTTTACCCCGTTCACACCCTCGGATAGTGGCTGCGGTTTCCTTCGTTACCCAAAAAAGAATACGTCCTGACACTGTGTCCACTGCCCAAACATAATGAATATACACTCAATCGATCTCCATCTTAGCCACAAACTGTCATAGTGGCACAACCAGGGAGGGTTGGCCTTGTAGCTATCTGGTTGGCCCTCCAAGGTTTAGCATTCCGTGGCCAACTTTCCTTAGAGCATTGAGCATATTAGGCTTCGGTTTCTTTCCAAAATCCTATAGGTACGTGTTGTAAGTGGGACTGGGGTCCTTAGCCTTATGTGCCGTGCTAGTCAGTACCTCGTTCTCTTAGTTGGCCTTCACCCTCCTGGCCACAAATCAGACATTAGTCAGTTCCTAAGTGTCATCCTTGACCTTCACCGACTGTTTAGGTATCCAAACATCCATTGTTAATTTTTCTCCATCTATTGCTGTACGGTTCTATAGCAAACTGTATCTCCCATGTATCAAAATCACGGCAACCACACATAGTATTCCTCTAAACCAGGCCCTGTTACGTTCCTCCTAATTAAGACCATGTGCTGATGTCCATACAGCATGCATAGTAATGACTTTGTTTCCAAAACTTATTGTATTATTATTTTGTTTTTCTGATCTTTTGACTTGTTAAATAATGAGTTTGTTTCCAAAACTTGTATTATTTGTTGGATCTTCTAACTTATTAAAGAAGGATTTTGTTTCTTTTCAATTTTACCTTGAAACACTTGTCTCTCCCTATCATTCTCGAGGGGATCTCTTGCTTGGATTGCGGGTACGTTACTTCTCCTTTGATTCATTCCAGACTAGGGTGTTCTTTACAAAAGTGTTGGATCCTATCGATTCACGCCATAATCACATGCAGTGAGAATAAATACTCTTTTGTTTCGTGGGAGGGGGTGTTAGGGGATGAGAAAGTAGCAGGGATAGATCGGTTTCAAAATATATTGTTTGCTGTTCCTTATAATAATACATATTTATGAGGTCTTCCCTTGATTTTCTTGCATTTATTGGCCTTGTAATTGTTCCTTTCATCTCTTTTGTACCTTATGCCGTTATAACAGCTGAGAAATGTCGAGAGATGGTTGGCAAAGAGGCTGCATCCAAAAGCGGGCAGTTTGGTATCATGGACTGTTTAGATGGTGGCACTGGAACCGTGGCATGCATGGTGAAGGAGGGCGTAAAGAGTTACATTTATAGCATCAAAACCACTCACGCCGAGATAGCAAGCCATCTCGCAAAGGAAGGTGCACTGGCCGAGGCTGTATCTCAAGGGATGACCGCCAAAGATGCAACTAAAGAAGCCCAGAAAGCGGCGGCAAAAGCAACCAAAGTGGCATCGCGCCAAGCCGAGCATATCCTTGGCCCCATTGTCTCTTCGGGATGGGATCTTTTCGAAACGTTTTACTTCAGGGGCTCAATAACGGAAGGGCTCGTAAGAAGCTCGGGTACATTGGTTGGCACGTATTTGGTCGGGTTTCTAGGCGAGAAGAGCTACAGAAGGGTTGGATACTTTGTTGGAAGCATGCTAGGTAGTTGGGTTGGAGGGAAGGTGGGTGTGATGATTTATGATTTGGTGAATGGAGTACAATACATTCTTCAGAAACCTCAACAACAACCTTACCAGAGGCCAGCAGGACATGATGAATTTTAAACTAACTTAGGTGGTCTTAAACTAGCAAGTATAATTTAATTCCTAATTATAATAAGTTGTAAATTTGACTTTTAATTAGTTACAATAGTAACCTGGCAATCATTATTGTGGGGAGTATGGTCCATACAAGTTGTGTGGACCATATTTTGTATACTGTGAAATAATGTATATTCGGTACAAAAATAATGTACGTTCAATACAAAAATAATGTACATTGTATTCAGGAGATGTACATTATTTTTGTACTGAGTGTACATTATATTGAATAATGTACATTCAGTACAAAAATAATGTACATTTAGTATATTAAAAATGTACTTTTTGTTATGGTCCACATAACACTGTGTTGACCAATAATTTGTCGTAACCTAGGGTGTGTGGTTGAGTGAAAGGGACTCTCTTTGGCTTTGGGTATGTAACAACCTTAAATTTCTAGGCCAATTGTCTCACCCAAAAGGTGTGCCTATGTCTCACCCAAAAGATGTATCGACAATTCAGTGAGGGGATTCGTCACCGTATTCGATGGTGAAAACTCTGAGTACACTATAAAAGAAGTAGTTATTTTTGTCCATTGGAAGACCAAATAGCCACTTTTGAACATTGCAATTTTTGTCCTTAATATATCTTAGAAGGACTAAAATAGACACTATTGTCAATAATTAAGGACTAAATTTGCCACTCAAAATAATTAGGGACTAAACTTATACTTATCTTATAATTTAAGGACAAAACGTACAATTTTTTTCTTTTTTCATGTGCCATTGACCGTTGGGGAAATCAAACTTTGATCCCTTAATCATTTTCTATTTTTTTTTTTTCAAACAAAACGGAACGAAGTTCATTACTGAGTGAAAAAACGTGCAATACAAGCTGGTGGGATATCAATCCACACCCCTAAGGCAGCTGTAGAACCGGTTGCCCGAGCTAACTCATGAGCCACACAATTCGCTGATCTCTTGACATGGGTAACTCTAACATTCCCTATGTCCCTAGCAATCGACAGACATTGCTTAACAATCAAACCAACATAAGACAAATCAAAGGTACTAGAATTAAAAGCATTGCAAAAACTTAAACAGTTAGACTCAATTATTATACTCCTGTGATGTTGCTCTTTAAGCCACGTCAACGTTTCTTTGACGCCAATCGCTTCAGCCATATACGGGTCAATGACCCCCTCGATACGTCCGCTTTTCGCCGCCACAAAGTCACCGGCATGGTCCCGCACCACAGCACCAAAACTAGCGACTTCGACGGAAGAAGCCGCATCTACGTTGCATTTAACCGTATGCCGCGGAGGTGGCTTCCACGTAACTGCTTGGCGTGCCGGATGCTCCGTGGTGCGGTATGCCTCCTTCCAGCCAAGTCGCTGCCGATGCATTTGGTCGTGAGCACTCACCACATCCGGAATTTTGTTATTCCAAACAACATCATTCCGCCACAGCCAAATTGTCCAGAAAGCAGCAGCTAGACGTGCCGTTTCCTCCTCAGTCGCACTGCCCAACGAATGGTTTAAAAAACCGATGATGTCTCGCCTTTGTCGAATGTTCACATCGCCCCACACCCCTTCCGCAAAAGCACAGTCACAAAAAAGATGTTCCATCATTTCCGAAACATGACCACACATCGGACAACCCCCACCTATCCACACTCTCTTGGACCACAAATTATCACGAACCGGTAGCACGTTACGAGCGCACCGCCACAAAAAGTTTTTTACTTTCGGTGGAACCGACAATGCCCACAACGCTCTATACTTTAAAAAAAAAATAAAAAAAAATCAATTTGAGTTTTAAGATTGTATATATCTAATCTAACAAGTAACAATAATTTCAACAATGATTCTAATTTTTTTTTTCTTCTGCATCGGAGGGGCCATATTATCTGATCATCATAATCGACACACTTTGAATGTTACAGGCTAAGAGATCCTTTTACTTGTCCGGAGGCTCCTCAATCCACGTCGTTCTCCAATTGCTAACATGACCCGTGTTAACAAGAAAGTCAACACACCAATTCCCCTCCCTCAAGATGTGGGTTACCTGGGTGGTTTTGACCTATATAAGTAGTGCTCTATAGTCTAGAATCCAAGAGTAATGACCCTACTTCAGGATTTATCTCTAAACAAATAAATTATTTTTACTAAAACCTATTTCAACTAGTCGTAAATATTTCATTCCAGTTCCAATATTTGAACTAGATGCCCCCATATCCTAAAATGGCAATAAGAGTAAAAGTTATGCATTGCTAGTATTAAATATGTGCATTCTATGGGGCGGTGGCTGCAGCTTGTAGATGTAGTATTTGTGCAGTGTGGGGATTATGTTCAAAGTTGGCAGATCCCTTGTGTGCACGGGCATTTGAACCTGTATGCTGAACCATTGATTCTTTACGATACCCTACCAAAAGAGTTTGAACCTATGACCACTCATTTAGAATGGTAACCGAGATGCCACCTCTACATGGTAGTTAGCATTCTGATTCAAATTTTTTTCTAAATACATTATTTTTACTAAAACCTATTTCAACTAGTACTAAACATTTCATTCCAATTCTTATATTTGAACTAGATGCCCCTAAATCCTACAAGCACAATAAGCATATATAGTAAAAGAATTTCAAAGTCAAGAGAATTGAAAAATAAAAATCCCAATGAGAGCAGTTAACCATCTCCGTCACATACACTATATATAAAGCAGGTCTGGCTGAAAGAAATGCAGACAAAATATTAAAAAAAAAAAAAATTGACTGAAAAAGAAAGCATCAAGTTGCTTATTGGCCAATAGAGAACATTATAATGGGGGTTCCTAATTCCTATGGTTGAAATTGCTGAATCCCATGAGAGGGATAGAAGAGGAATAGTTCCAAGTTTTTGGATTATATTAGAACATGAAAGCATACAAGGCACTACTGCACAGGAACAATTAATCCATGGAGCCTCATGCATGTACTAAACTACCCCTAAACATGAGTTGTTATACCATGGACCAACGTGGACCCTGATCTTAAACGACGTATAAATTATGTATTTTTTATATTGTAATTGTGAACTTTTAGAATATAAATTGTGTTTTAAAGTCAAAACACCTAACAGATGTATAAAGGAATTTGTGAATACAATACATGATCATCAAATCATTGTGTGACTGCAGTATTTGAAAGGAACTTGTGAATACAAAACAAGGTAATCAATTACATATATGTTAAAATTGTGTGTTCGTAGTATACAAATTGTGAAAAATTAAAAGATATATTGTGAACATTTAATATGTAAACTGTGAACACTGAAATTTGAGTCCACCTTTCAAAGTGGATCCGGGTCCACAGAATAATTTGCGTAAACATATATGGAAGAAGAAATCCACTAGATTACAAAGAGAAAGCAATCAAAAAATGCACTGATTCAATCCTATCTTGTCCCATGCATGAACGGCCCCTAATATATACAAAAATAAAAACTACAAATACAAAATTCTCAGAGTCAATTCCACTAAAATTCCCTTGAATATTGATTATTCTTTTTTCATATTTGCTTCTCACCTTTAAAATCAATTACATTTGAAAAAAAACTTGTGTGAAACCGTCTCATAGATCCTTATTGGATAAATGTAATATTTTTAAGGAAAAATGTAATACTTTTATATTTTGACTTAAGAGTATTATTTTTTCTCAAAAGTATTATATTTTACATTATAAGTAATGAATACTACTTGTCAACGTTACTTACTAGGGAAAATGTAATAAATTTGATGGAAAATATAATACTTTTACATCAAAATGTAAAACTATTGCATTTTTCCTCAAAAGTATTACATTTTCCTTTATAAGTAACAAACACATTATTTCTTATTAATATTACATTTGAGCATATAAGTATGACATTTGTGCATATAAGTACTTTGCATGTTGACCTGGCTCGATCCGACTCATCCCATGAATAAAGATCCATGAGACGATTTTACACAAGTGTGACTCAAAATGTAATACTAATAAAAAAATATATATTAGTTTTGAAGAAAAATTTAATCCTTTAATTATTAAAATTTTTTGAGATTCTCAATCCACTTTAATTAGAAAATCTATTGGCCAGTTATCAAATTTAAGGGTAAAGTCATAATTTTTATGTGTTCACACGTTGAAACCTTTGTTAGTTACTGTACACAATCAAAATGTCTAGGGTATCTTTGGTTCATGGATTTACAAGAGGAATGTGAATCAAAATCAGTGTTTGATTGACAAGTTTTTAAAACACAATTATGAGATTTGATTACACTACAATTAAAAATATAATTCATTAATTAAAAACGAGTACCATTCTATCTTATTGTAATTTGATTTTTAAGTTTAGATTAATACTTTTTAACTTTTGGTTTAATTTTTTTTTTTGTTCATTTTAGTATTTTGAATGTCATTGTATTAAGATCAATTGTCTTAATTTTTTATTTTTTTATTTTTAAAATTTTTATTCTCATTATAGGGTCATATATAACCAAACATTAATATTGGTAATCATGTAAATTCTACCCTACTACCAAATATGCAAAATACTTTCACCAAAACTCACTATCATTACCAAGTATTTGATTCCATTTTGATTCCGATTCTTTTGTGCGACCAAACACATTCTAAATTGAGAGTCAAAAGTTAAAATTCGCATGCGATAAGATGGGGAAATGGAGTTTTCGATATAGTATGTAGTATGATGTACACTCGTAATTTGAAAATTTTAATTGTTTTAAGCAAAATGATAATAGTTAAATAACTTGTGCTTAGATGATCGGTAGTGGGATATTTGACTCTTTGGTGCAACAGAAAAAGTGTATACGCGTCATTTAGCCACATTTTTATGAACTATATCGTATTGATTGAACTTGGTATTTGATGTGAGATTTGAACAGATATAATTATAAGTTATGTACATAGGTTTTAGGGGAGAAAAACAAAAGTCGTTGTAGTATAGTGGTGAGTATTCTTGCTTGTCACCTGGGTTTGATCCTTGGTAACAGCGATATTTGTGTTTTAATAGTATGAATGAAAATATATACAAATAGTGGTGAGTATTCCTGCTTGTCACCCGGGTTTGATCCCCGGCAACAGCGATATTTGTGTTTTAATAGTATGAACGAAAATATATACAAAAACCAAAATTGACTCTTTGGTGCAACAGAAAAAGTGTATACACGTCATTTAGCCACATTTTTATGAACTATATCGTATTGATTGAACTTGGTATTTGATGTGAGATTTGAACAGATATAATAATAAGTTATGTACATAGGTTTTAGGGGAGAAAAGCAAAAGTCGTTGTAGTATAGTGGTGAGTATTCCTGCTTGTCACCCGGGTTTGATCCTCGGCAACAGCGATATTTGTGTTTTAATAGTATGAACGAAAATATATACAAATAGTGGTGAGCATTCCTGCTTGTCACCCGGATTTGATCCCCGGCAACAGCGATATTTGTGTTTTAATAGTATGAACGAAAATATATACAAAAACCAAAATCCAACCTGCCGGATTTGAACCAACGACCTAAGGATTAACAGCACTCACTACAGTCCTCCGCTCTACCAACTGAGCTAAGGTTGGGTTTACACTAAGCACGCGAACTGCTTATTATTTATAGTGAGATCAATGGCTTTAAGGTGCCAACATAAAGAAATTAATACTTTACTCTTAAATTTGGTGTCTTGAATACTTAGGGTGTGTTTGGTTTAAACACGGAAATTGGATTGAGAATGAATAAAGGTTTTTTTTTTTTTTTTTTTTTTTTTTTTTTTAATGAGAAACTTCTGTGGGCGAGATGAGTATTAGGCCGACTAGATGCTAAGCCCAAATATGTCCGTTCACATTGTGGTAAAGTTCCTACCTTGCCCACGAGTAAAGAAAGAAAGAAAGAAAGCGAGTCAAGAAACTCAAGTGAAAGAAGAGAAAAACGAGTCATTGTGACTCAACAAGAAACCTCCACAGAACAAGTGTTCCTTGATACAAAAGAGAGAGTGTGTATATATATCTATCTATATACTTATTCTTAAAGCATCATGATTATCTTGTTGCATGGTTTTCAAGACTTGCATGTTTAGTATAAAAGCTTGAGAAGAAGTATGATATTGCATTATTGTTTATTGATCAACTTGATAGCATGAGTTTGCTTGTTAAAGTTTAAGTATCTCTTATCTATCAGTTTGATTTATGTTTAGAAGTGTCTGTAAAAGCATGAGATTTATGATAAGCAGAGTACTTATGAAAGCATGCCTAATTGTTAATTAGGTTGCAAGCATATAGAACTTATTGTTAAGTATGATGGAGTTATGGTTTAAGTATGTGGAATTATTTGATTTAAGTGTGATTGCCAAATGTTTTCCAAAAGTATATCTATAGTACTTTACATGGTTGAGTGGAGTTATACTTAGCATTCGTGCTAACGGGTTGTTTTCTATTTGCTTGTTTGTTAACCCCTTTCAGGTGGGCTCAGTACTTGAGCGCGATCGAGTTAGATTAGCGTGTAGCCTAGAGATGCTAGATGTTAGTTTAAACTCTGTTTCAGTTGTGTTAGTTTTGACTTTGGAGGTTAGACGCGTTCTTAGATGTTTTGATGGTGTTGGACA